CACTTGGATTATTTAAGAAATAGGATAACCTTAGCCCTTAATGGTCTCAGTCGCATAGGGGGGTCCTTTTGGGGCCTTAGATATCCAGCAACTATGTCCATTTATAAAGGAGTAGTTGTTGGTATCCTGAGATACGCGTCCCTCGCATGGAACCGGAATCTCTCGTACCGTCAGAAGCGCAAGTTGGCAACAATCCAGCGGATGGCCCTGCTTAGAGTAACCAGGTCATACAGAACTGTGTCCCATGAGGCGGTGCAGGTCTTAGGAGGAGGTATTCCTCTCGACCTCCTCCTGCGGGAAGACCTTTATCGGTACAACATTAAGAGGGATGACTTGGCGGATTTACCAGCAAACATTCGGGAGAGGATTTGTGATGACCCCAGAAGATGGAAGATGATCCTCCGGGAGGATACAGTGGAACAATGGAATCGGCGATGGGTGACAACCCCAAACGGGTCCTCACTAAGAAAATTCTTTCCCACCATTAAATCGCGCTTAGAAAAGAAATGGGTCCTCCCGGACTACTGGGTCTCACAGATCCTCACGGGGCATGGGGGTTTCAGAGCGAAACTTTTTAAACACGGTAAAAATATCGATCCCTTATGCCCCACTTGTGGAGTACCTGAAACCGCTGAGCACATCCTTGTAGCCTGCACCACCTATGAGGCACTGAGGGCCAAATTAATGAGGGATACAGGGCTTTTCGTTCTAACAGAAAGACAATTACCCCAACTGATGTCTGAACAAAACTACCCGCACTTTAAAAGTTTTGTATGCGGGTGGAAAAAAACTGTGGGCCAACCCACTTCTCCCTGGGAAGGCGTGAAGAAGCAGTACCTGGAAGGCCGCTGATTAGGACAAGAGAAGAAGATGGAGAACGATAAACTAAGAGACAAAATTATCAAGCAGGCTGTGTGCACAGCAATTTAAAAATGTAAAAAGATAAACTTGCAACAGTGATTTGTTATACAATGTGTATAACAACTGCTGCAAACTCCCGTATTGTCTTAAAGGCAGGGTAGGGAGGAAAATAAAATGAAATAAAATAATATATTTAAGATTACATCTTAACTCCCGTTTCTCTATTTGGTATCTTAAGGTTCCATATTAAAATATCAATACTCATAAACCATGACCATCACCACTTATTATTTTCATTTCGTATCTAATTAATTAATTATGCCCGGATAATGTTTTTTTTTTTTAATTTCTAGCATCTGTTGAACTTCATTGCATTATTTACATATAATTTGTCTGTATAAATAGCATCATTGTTTTTATATGTTGTATTTTTTCATTAACCAAAATTTAAAGCCTGGTGTTGTTTTGTTTGTATTTTGCTATTTTTGCAATTTTCTATGTGATGTTTTATTATTTTTAAAAAAAATGAGGTCTGACGAGTTTCAATCCATTTAGATTGTAGATTCAATTCAATCAGATAATGGATTCGATACGTGGATTATTGTGGTAGGATTGGATAAATTAATGGAGCATCAGTTTCCAAAGAAGGATAAAGCTTTAAGTACTTGTATCAGTTTTAGTATTTGCTTTGATTTGATTTGATTACTTGATTTAATGATGATATTTTATGTTTCTAATGGGGCTTTGGTATATTTCGTTTCATAAATACATGACAATTTAACTATAACAACGGTGTTATTTTCGTACAAATCAATTGATTTCTAGACCAATGTGATAGGTGTGATGTATGTTATATTAAATTGAGGAACTCTGTTAGATCTCGATATATTTAAAATTTTAAAGCTGTAGTTTTATATTTGATATCCATACTAAATTTTATTGTATAAATGAAAATTGTGTTATTCATAGATAATTATTTTTTCATTTATTGCACGACCAGACAATTATTATTTTACTGGAATTAAGTAATCAGTGAATTTATTATGATAAAATTGTTTTATAGGTCGTTAATAAGAAAAATAACTAACTGTTTTGTTTTTTTTATATTTACAGGTAGGTGTCTAAACTATAAAAAGTTGCTGGTATCACAGAAATAAAAAAGGTAATTTATTCAAGAAATAAAACGATATATTTTAGTGTCTCATTTATAGGGAATAGATTAAATCTTAAAAAAATGACATTATATGATATTTTTGTTATAAAAACTATTATTAAATTATTACAATACTAAAATTTTGTTATTAACAGGTTGATAAATTATAGTTAGAAAATGAGATTCTTTAAATATGTTAAACAAACACCAAAATGGATATATTATATTTTCTGTCTTAAGGCTTAACATCGGGCATAGGCCGTAAGAGCGAAACTTTAACTATTTTATTGGGATCTTCTACCTCACCCTCCGTATTGTTAAAAACCATAAATCTGCATTAGTTTTATATAAATGTATATTCCGATATTCCCTCAATCAAAGTCACAATTATTTTTTGTTGTTGGGGACTATTTATTCATTGATTATTTATTATATTCTTGAGATAATTCAGAAATTACTTTTATTCCCATTTATCAGTAAATACTTTTAGACCTCTTCTGATTTATGTTAGATTTTATTTTAGACCGATTTATAACTCAAGTGCTTAGATTTTTTTTCTATCTTTTCTTATCTCGATACGTAGCTTTGTAATTTCATTTGCAGCTGTGGTTGCCAAATTTTTTTTTTTTTTTTGATATTGTAAAGAGGCCAGCAGAGATTAAAGGATTGATGCTAATACATAGCCAACGACAGACCCATGTCCCGCTGTCGGGTAACAAGGGAGGGAGTAATTCTTCTCTACCCTCCCCCAGATCCTCTTTTTACACAGGACCGCGATAATTAAACGGTTTAGCCTCGAAAGCGACCAGCTATTAAAACTTAAATTGTCTGATACCATATCAAAGGGATATAGCTTGTTATACTGTCTTACCATAAAGAGAGCCCTTTAAAATATGTAAGCTATTTAACAAGAAAATATCGACAGAGAAAATGCCATTAGCACGGTAAACTGTTTTAAAAAATATCTTATCTTCCTTAAAAAATATAAATTATCTTCCTGATGACAGAATAAACTGATTTGAATGTAAATATAAACCAGCTATATTCAATCTAATTTTTTAGTTACAATCATTTTTTTTATCGAAATGTACAGTATACTTCGCATGTCAAAAGGAAATAACTATTATTTACTCAAGAACATTGTATGTTGTTTTTGTCGTAATATTTATGAAATAGCATTACTTTGTACATGAAAAAAAGATTTTTTTCATAGAATTAATAAAACTTGTAAAAATCTCCAAAAAAATTATTTAAAAAATGGGAATTATATTGATAATTAAATGTTTTAACATATATTAAAATATATATATCTATGGCTTTATGTCCGATAAGGAATGTTTCACTTTTCAGATAAAGTTTCTTTATTAAATATTTAATAAATAAAAAGATTGCTCTAAGTTCTAAGGGAATACGGAGTAGACCAATAAACAATAATATTGAAAAAATTGACACTGACCAACACCATTTCAAAAATAATATTCCAGCAACTAATAAGATTGAGAGAAAGATTCTAAGGAGGATTCAAGGACCCAAGGTAATGCAAGAGGGATACAGGCTAAATCCAATAAAGAAATATACAGAAATTCGGAAGATTTGGAAACAGTCGTCTGGACCAGAAGACTGAGATTCTACGGGCACATCGTCACTATGAATAGTGAAAGACCGAACAAGAACATTTTAAACAAAGTTTGCAGCTATAAAAATAAAAATCACGAATAAAGATTTCTTGGATAGAGAGCTTTTTAGGGAAAAACTGAAAGGGGTTGGGGGTTTTGTAGGTGGGAGGGAGAGACGTGGGAGAAAATGTACTAAGGAAGAGCGAGAGGAACAGTCCAGGAGGCTGAGAGAGTATTGGAGTAAGAGGAAGGCTAAGTGTGTGAAGAAGAAACGGAAATGATATTCGCGTGGTCCTTGCTGGCCACTTCGTGTAAAAAAAAAAAAAGATTTGAAGAAAATTATAGTAGCATAAAATCGCTAAACAAAAACTATTTAACTCTCTGCTTCGATATAGGTAATTTTAACATACACCTAAACTTTTCACTCCTCTGCAAAACTCTATTTTGAACCCATCAAATAGAAGGTTGAAAACTTTCCATCCATTAACAAAGGAACTTTGTGTAAAAAATTCAATTATTTTAATGTTTATTGAGTTGTTTTTTTTACTGCCTCTACTCTTAAGGGTTGTTGGTTGATTTATTTGTGTTTTTTTGTTTTGTTTTTTTCAAATCTCTTGATAAGTGCCAATCTTCTGCAGAAAGTTTATAGTTTTTTCGACTCTATTTTGTTATCTTTGAATTTTCCTCACAATTTCTAATCCGCCCGTCATTATAAGTGTTTCACTAAAGTATTAACTTAGGTCGCGAAGCGAAGATGAAATAAATTCTTCTCGCCTAAATATTTTAGTCCATTAATGAATCTGTAATTATATTTTACTTAACTTTAATTTTCAAATTCTATTGAATCCGTCAGATTTCCGAAGTGTTAACGCTAAAGTAAAGTAAAGACGGCTAAAGTAGGCTAACTGATACTAAAAATCGGGCCTGCATACTGTAAGCGAGAAAATTGTTTTGTATTTCACACTCTCTGTAATATAGGCTACACAGAATTCTATCTTAACGCGACTCCTCGTTAGGGACGAGAAAAGAAAAAATAGTGTCGGAAACCAAATGATAAGGTTAGTTGAATTTATGAATTAAAATATTTCAGATGCTATAAATCGGACCTGTATACTGTAAGCGAGGGAAATGTTCAGCATTTCATCATCTTTGTAATGAGATATTTTTTATAGTTTATATTACATATTATTAATCTCGTTTTGTTTATCTGTTCACTTACATCGTGTGGTCTAAAGCATACACCTTAGTTATTTTTATCGATTAAAAAATATTCGAAGTAACGGTCTCCAAGTCGGTTTTTCTTTCTTTTTGTTTTGCAACTGGATTGAACCCTTCGCGAGGACTCAGATATAAAATTAGCGGGCCGAGCTTTAAGAATTTTTGATTAGAGATAATTGGAGTGCATTTCCACTTGAAAGGCTGTCGGCTGGGTTCGGAGGAAAAAAAAGGGAAATGACCGAAGAGGGCGACTTTCCAATTAGCCAGAAAGCTTTCCCTATCGCTAGGGGGGGAGGAGGGGTGTACGTGGGGTCCGGGCCCCTTTGGCCTGTGGTCATGCCCCCTCCCCTGTCACCGTGGTTGTGTCCGCTTCCTGATTTCTGACTATTCTTTACTCGTAGCATAAGGTGATAGAGTAGTGTAAGAATCTAGTCCAGAACTTTTTAAAATAAAATACTGTTTAAGAATTAGCTTAAGTGCCTACAAATTAACAGAATAGAATACAAAAATAACTATATTTTGAGAAAAAGTCCATTAAGAATAAGGGAGTTGTACATGAATAAAAAGGATTACATCTGGTCAAAAGATCTGTTTCATTAAATAAAAAAAAAAAAAAAAATAATAATAAAAAAAAAAAAAAAAAAAAGAAAAGCAACACCTTGAGTAAACTAACAATATAATAAATGAACACATAACCTTAAACGCAGACATAAAGTAATTCATACTGAAGGAAAAAGGAAGTTGCTTAAACACAGAAGAGAAAAGTTACATTAAAAATCTGATTAAAATGAATGAGAGAAAAAAAAAATATATATTACAAAAAAGTCAAAAATATAATAATACAAAAAAGTATTTTATAAAATAAATCTAAAAAATAATACATTAATTAATATGAAACAAAATGTGTCAAGCTACATACATCTATATTCGGTACGGTATATGGTCGGCGTACCGAGAATGGGTTGGATCTGGGCGGGACAACATCCGTGCTGGGCTATGCTGATGATCTGGTACTGTTAAGCGAAGACGTTGAAACTATAAAACTAAATACGACAACGTTAATGAAAGCCGGGAAAGAACTAGGACTCGAAATAAACGTGGATAAAACAAAATATATGGTTAGCTGCAAAAATGGCGATACTACTGGTGACATCGATATAGATGGTAATATGTTTGAACAGGTAGATAAATTTAGGTATCTAGGTTCAACAATAACTAGAAAAAACGAAATTGAAGAAGAGATTAAGGTTAGACTGAAGGCGGGAAATGCTTGTTATTTTTCTGTGACAAAACTACTTAGTTCGCGCCTCTTGTCCCGGAACTTAAAAATTAGAATCTATAAAACAATTATCTTGCCTACAGTTCTTTATGGATGCGAAACTTGGCCGCTTACATTAAGGGATGAGCAGCATCTTAAGGTTTTTGAAAATAAAGTATTGCGTAGAATATTCGGACCGAAGAAGGATGAGTTAACCGGGGAGTTCAGACGGTTACACAACGCCGAATTGCGTGAGCTGTATCCGGGCAATATAATTGATGTAATTTCATCGCGGCGAATCAAATGGGCTTGTAAAGTTGTTGGGCTTAGTAACGAGAGAATTCCTAAAAGGTTAATATTTGCTGTGCCGAATGGTAAGCGTCCGAGGGGTAGACCGAAGCGAAGGTGGGAAGATTGCATTAATGCCGATCTGAAGGGACTGGGTTTGGACGGCGAACGGTGGAGGGAGGTGTGTAACAAGCGATTGGTGGTGTCGGCATCGAACCTTCGGGTTCGCTAAGCCTTATTATTATTATTATTATATGGTCGGCGTATACATGGGTACTCCACACTTATTATTACTATAAATGAAAATACAGCTTAAAAGAGGCATGAGGTAATTAGTATATACGTGGAAAAATCCAAACCATAAAGTCTTGAGCACAGGTGAACAGTTTTAACCTACCTATGATACTGGTTAATAATCATCCCTTGTAATCAGCCGTTTAATAAAACTTCACTCTTCTGCGTTTATGGAACCACTAGTTTCCTTCAGTATGTTTTTGATAGTTTCGTTTGTTTTGTATATAGAATGTTTACTTTATATTTTCTTTACCTTATTTCTTTCGATTGATTTTGTTTTGGCCAGATGTAATCTTTTAATTTTGTTCTATTTTCTTATTCTCAAGGGACTTTTTTCTATCTATCTATGTACTTATTTAGAAGGCTTCGTGAGATCTCTCTAGTAATTATTTCCTTCTCAGTAAATTTCTAGCAATTCTTTTTTTTTTTTTCATACATACATATTTCTTATAATACTAATTGTCGAAGTATAAAATATTTTGACCCACCAAACTCGATTGACATTCAGTTTAACATTCCTATTAATTTAAGTTCACTACTGTACAGTAACGCTTCAAGATGAGAAATCAGTGTTCGGAACAGCTACAACAAGATATTTACATTACGCGGGATGTCACCGTGACAGGATGACGGATCGGATTGGGCGTAGCTAATGGAGGCGGTGGTGTCAGCAAGTCAAGTTATGACTACTGCGTCATGTTCCATGACTAGTGGGAAATGGATCACGGGTCGGTGAGTGCAAGGGCTTGTAGCTGCGCCAGAGTGCACTTCAGCCTGCACCGGCCGCCGCTCGAGTGCCATCTTCTGCGGATCCTCATTGTTGCAGCGAGCTGATAGTTCATGTTTGCGGTTGTATACATCACCGCATCATCTATCGCAATTTGCTCCTGTTATACTAACGTTAGTGATTTCAGACCCCGTTTACTATGGAATTATTATATATAGAAGCATTATTATTAATATTAATGAAAATTTTCGTAAGCTGAAACCATCGGAGCTAGATATTTTCTGGCTTAATAGAAGTGTCTGCGTATAAGCTCAAAAATGAAAATTGTAACTATGTTGATAATAAAGTTTGGAATATGTACCGTACACACCAGGTTTCAAAAGGATTACCTCGAAATTATTATGCCTAGAATTTTTGTGACTAGCTAAATAAATTATATCTAGTTTTCAGCTACATAAATTTTCAATAATTGGAACTATTCCACAAGTTCAAGCATACTTAATTTGTTTGTTATAAATAAAACTTTAATTTATGGCTGTTCATTTCTAATAAGCATTAAACATAATTATTTTTAAATATAAAAGAAACTTAGATTATGATCTTAAATTTACACCTAAATGAAAATGACCCACCTACAAAAAATTTCAAACATTCCAGTCAAAATTATTGCGACTTATAACATAAGCACCTTGATATGTGACTAACAAAACTCTACATACTGATCTCCACTTTCCAACAGTTGACCAACATATAACGTCCCTTTATCAACGATTTTACACAAATTTAAATGGACATAATAACAGACTTATAATAGACATGGCCACAGCTGACATACCTCAGAACAAGAGGAGGAGTCTATAAAGGCGTTGGATGAGGGATCTCCTTCCTTAGACAACCTAAGTATTTGGAGCAAGTTAGGGAAGAGGTACTGCTGAGTATTTCCCTTCCCCATGCCTGTCATGTTATTTCATGTATTGCCCTCACATTTGCTGATTGTTAACAATAAGTTGATTGGCGCAAATACGTTTTTATAGACAAAAAAAAAATTACAAAAAAATATTTTATTTATAAGAATACTTTTTGACTAGAATATTTTTTTAAATATATCATTTAATTTTATAAAGTTTCGGCCTATTTAACATTTTTAAATATTATGATTCTAAATACCAAATAAGATGCCGCTCGAGATAGTATACATCAAGGTATACTATATATATTTGGTTTTTCAATTAATGTATTTTTAATATGTTTTTATTTATTCATGTAAATATATTAACATATGATTACTTGTAAAAGACCTTCCCCATAAACCATTTCTTTACTTTGTCTGTCTTGAAAAAATTAATCAAATTCTAAATATCATGAAAAACCTACATTTTACCTTTATTCAATTTTACTTAATTTTATCTTAAATCTTTTGATAGAATAGAATCGAACGCAATCCTTGAATAATAATGGCTAGAAACAGACGACCTGGACATAGAATAGATAGGATGTATAGTACGGCCATCTTTAATCTGAAGTCCTGCCGTGGCAATACAGAAGGCTGTGAGATATGGAGGGCCAGATTACGTCCAAGATTTGCATGGCATTGCGACAGAGCACCCGACCTACAATGCTATCACGTTTTACCTTGGCAGCTAACATCTACATTCTTAAGTCATTTATTTTCGGATTATTCTGTTGGAAGACATTTTATTTGGTCTAAAAGTATGTCATAAAATGCTAACAAAAATGAATTGAGCTATTTCACATGTAAAGTTACAAAGAAAGGTAACACAAAAACAATTTCCAAAAAATAAAATGTTTATAGTAGAATTAATTAATTATATGTTTATAAGTGCGGTTTTTGTATCTGATATATGGTTGTCTTTTTAATGAATATTTTAAAATCAATTAATATAAACATATCTTGTCTTTGATATTTAAATGTGCTTCAGATAGTCTTCGTTTAATATCAAATTATTAATAATCATCCAAAACATCGTGATTGACTTGAGCTTATCTTTACGTACAGTTTTTTTATTTACGAGAATTCTCGAAACTAGGGTGCATTCAATTTGGAGATTGGTATACTTTGTCTAATTAATGAGTTAGTATTGGTTTATGGACATTCGCTTTCCACTTTAATCGATACTTTGATCAAAAAATCGAGAGAAAAAATAAGAATACAAAAATATTGTCCGTTTGACGAGACCTTCTACATCCTATCAACATAACGAGGTTATTTCGGTCAAATCGTCCAATATTTTACTCTGCCAGCTTTTATCTCGATTTTGTGATCAGATTATCTTACGATTTCAATGGAAAGCATATGGGTATTTATGATTTTTAATAGCTAATTAAATTAATTAATTTTTCATTGATAAAAGTTGTTGGTTAAAATAAGAAGTATTGTTTGATAATTTGTCACGTTACATTACAATAATAATAATAATAATAATGAAAAAAAGTCCTTTTGAATCTTATTCACCGAAAATATGAACATACCAAAGCAAAATTATAACCAAATTAAATTAAAATATTTAAAACAATAACTATATACTGAAGTACAGTATATAATGTTTATATTCTAGTTCGACTGTCAGTCTACCAACTGCTTCCTGCAGTGCCCGATATTACGTCCTGATGACTACCTACAAGGTGGGTTGAAAGTCTGCGTAAACAATAAAATACTACTTTAATATATATATTATTTATTTGACCGCACCTCCCCCTCTCCCCCTGCAACCAACTCCTTCTCATACAGTATCTCCTAGTACTTCTCTCTCAGCTATGTCACTAAAACTAAACGAAATGGAAATTGAGCGGGAATACAATGATATTATTGGTATTAA